CCGTTCAAGCTGGCTTCCTTCAACGTTCGCACACTAATGCAGATCAGACAACAGATAGGGCTGGCTGTCTTTTGAAGGTCTTAATGTTGATGTTTGTTGTCTATCCGAGACCCGTATTCAAGACTCTAGTGAAGTACTACAAATCCGCTCTCCATCTGTCGCCTCAAAAAGCTTGTTCCACCTGCGCTTATCCGGGGACCCTGTGGCATCTTCGTCTGGTCTTGCTGGCGTTGGTGTCGCACTAAGCGCTAGGGCTGAGGCAGCACTAATCGATTGGATCCCCATTAACAGTCGGTTATGTGCTGTTAGATTACAAAGTTCCATCAAAGTGAGAAGAAACCGGGGTGAGAAACGGTGTCTTTTCGTCATCTCCGCCCATGCCCCGACAGATTGCAGCCCGGATGCAATCAAGGATGAGTTTTACCACCAGTTAACAGTTCTTCTCCAGAAAGCACGTTCGACAGATATTGTAGTATTAGCCGGAGACTTGAATGCTCAGGTCGGGCGTCTATGCACAGAACAGAGAGTCGTTTAGGTGGCCGATGGGGACTTGTTGGTCGCAGGACAGATAACGGGGACCGTTTGCTGCAACTGTGCACAGACCACAACCTGTTTCTGGCCAACACTAACTTCCGGCACAGTCATCGCCGGTGTGCCACCTGGCGCCCTCTCTCTGCATCGCAAGCCTGGACTCAGATTGATCACATCGCGATCAGCTACCGCTGGCGTGGTTGTGTACAAGACTGCCGCTCCTTTTGGAGTACCTATCTGGAGTCTGATCATGCCCTGGTCTGCGCCAATCTCACCTTACTTTTCAGTGGCCGAAGGATTGACCACCACCAACGGATTGATGTTAGTAAACTGGCTGCAACTTCTGTTGCAAGTAAGTATCGAGCGGAGCTAGTCTCTAGGCTAGCTACCACCCCACCGAAAAGTATAGATGAGCATTGGTTGCTTCCTCACGACGCCATGAAAATGGCGAGTAAAGCCGCTTGCGGCTTCGTGAAACGTCCCGCTTACAAGCATTGGGTTCCTTCTGGCTCCTTACAACTGATGGAAGCCCGTCGGTCTACTCCGGGTGACCGTGAGTTTGACCACAAACGAAGGCTGTTACGTAATGAAATCGGGCAAAGCTTGCGTAAGGACCGGGAAGCCTGGTGGTCGGAGCGTGCTAATGAGATGGAAGCAGCAGCTGCATCTGGTAACTGCCGGAAGCTCTTCCAACTCATCCGAGACACTGGCAGCAAGAAGTCTGGTGTGAGTGAAACAATCTACGAGGATGACGGGATGCCAATCACTAATATCTCTCGACGTCTTGGACGATGGGCGGAATTTTTCGAAGGGCAGTTCAACTGGCCTGCTGCTCCGGCAACATCAACCAGCTTGTACTGCCCCCCATGGCCGGTGACGACTGATCCATCAAACGAGGCGGAAGTCCGCAAGGAACTCCAACTCTTGAGACGTTACAAATCACCGGGCCCAAATGACTTACCTCCGGCTCTTCTTAAAGATGGTGGTGACTTTCTGGCTAAGGAACTGACTGCGTTGTTTGGAAAGGTTTGGGAAGAAGAAAGTGTTCCAACATCATGGAATGAGTCGATAGTCGTCCCTATCTTTAAAAAGGGTTCACGTTGTTCCTGCAATAACTATCGGGGGATAAGTCTACTTTCGATTGAGTCCAAACTATTGGCTTCTATCATTCTTCGTAGGTTGTTTAAAACCCGAGAACGATTGACTCGCGAGGAGCAGGCTGGTTTTCGTTCTGGTCGAGGATGCATTGATCACATCTTCACCCTCCGCCAAATGTTAGAACACCGTCATACTTATCGCAGGCCAACAATCGTAGTGTTTCTTGATATCAGGGCTGCCTTCGATTCGTTGGACAGGACTGTTCTCTGGGATTGTCTATTGAAGAAGGGTGTGCCTGAGAAGTTCATTAACATCTTAAAGGCCCTGTATACGAACACCTCAGGCAGAGTGAGGGCATACAACCACCTTTCTCCCTTGTTCCATTCGAGCAGTGGGGTTAGGCAGGGTTGCCCGATCACACAATTCCTCTTTAACTTTGCCATCGACGACATCCTGGAAACAGCTCTGATGAATGTAAGTAATGGCGGTGTGGATATGTTGCCTGGAGAACGACTTCTCGACCTCGAGTATGCGGATGATATTGTCTTACTGTGCGATAATGCTCAAGCCATGCAATCCGCACTTAATCAGTTGGCAATCAGTGTCCGCAGGTACGGCATGTGCTTTGCACCCTCCAAGTGCAAAGTACTCCTACAAGACTGACAGGATTCTCATCCTGTACTCACCCTGGATGGTGAGCAGATTGAAGTAGTTGAGAAGTTCGTGTATCTAGGTAGCTATATAAGTGCTGGTGGTGGCGTGAGTGATGAGATTGATGCACGTATAATGAAAGCCAGAGCGGCTTATGCCAATCTGGGCCATCTTTGGCGCCTTCGTGATGTTAGTCTGACTGTAAAAGGTCGGATCTACAACGCGTCGGTGAGAGCAGTTTTGCTCTATGCTTGTGAAACCTGGCCTCTCCGAGTTGAGGATGTTCGACGTCTCTCTGTGTTCGATCATCGTTGTCTCCGAAGGATTGCTGACATCCAGTGGCAACACCATGTTGGTAATGCAGAGGTTCGGCATCGTGTGTTCGGGCGCAGAGACGATAATTCAATTGGTGTCACCATCTTGAAACACCGACTTCGGTGGCTTGGACATGTTTTACGAATGTCGTCCCAGAGACTTTTACGTCGTGCATTATTTTCCGACCCTGGGACTGGTTGGAAAAAGCGGAGAGGAGGTCAGTGTATGACATGGTGTCGTGGCATGAAAGAGAGCTGCAACGGGCTAGCTTGTGTTGGTCCTTCACGACTCCCTGGTTGGGGTCCGAGAGATGGTGCAACACAGTGGCTAGAGACGTTATCAGATATGGTTCAGAATAGAAGCCAGTGGTGATCCTGCTGCAAACTTCTTTTACTTTCTTCATAAAGAGTGGTTCTAACTTTCTGGTTGTACATTTTAGTCCGCCTTATCTTTTCATCCTTTCTCTTCCTACTTTCATTATTTTGTGTGGCGCATATGTATCTGGTGCCCTTTTGTACCAATATATATATGTTTAAATAAATAAATAAATAAATACCCCTCTACAGTTAGGAGTACGACTTCGTCATTCGACCTTGGGTTTGCTGCCTTTAGTGTTACCGTTCTGTGGCCAGCCTGGCTAACATGGTAGGACCTTGAGTAACGATTGTTACAGCCAGTATGACCTGACTGGTTCTTCACGATAGGCAAGCCTGACCACCACATCAAGATAACAGCTACAGTCGGGCACGGTATACCGTAGACAAACCAGCATGATCGGCATAAATACGAATACAGTCAGAGACACTTAAGTTAATAATAATTAATGTCATTTACCAAGTACAAGATTATGTACTACACGGTGAGTCGCATAGCTTGTGTAAGGGTTAATGATACATCATAACTTTTTAAACCCATGTTGTTGGAGTGGTGTTTAAGCGTGCAACGTTTTGCTTAGAAGTTAAAGGTACCAGCAAAATTAATAAGAATCAGGACAGATAAAATCGATACTGAAACGATAAAAAGAGAATGATCTTCATACCTCACATAAAATCGTCAAGCGATCATTTGGTAAAAGACCGTTGGCCTCATCCATTAGCACATCTCGACGAATAAACTTCTTGAATCCCCAATCCTTGCCTTGCACAAACCTATAAGCGCGTTGACTTTCTTTAGATAAGATGGAGGAAATTAGAAGGCGTTACTATTAATACAAACCCATTGCTTTTGTTTCCTCGCGCTTTGCATTCAGGATAGAAAATTTAAACTTTGCTCTGGCCTCGCTTTTAGTCCCACAATTAACCAGTAAAAGATAGAGTGATAAATATTCTCTGCTTTCTTCATCTAAGCCCTTTGGGTTTATTCTAAGACACCTTGATAAGTAGAAAAAAAACACAAATATTATAAAAATAATGCTGTAAACTAACCATTTTAACTTATCATTAGGGCCACAGGAAAAAAATGAGCTCTTTACAACCTCTCCCATCTCTTCGCGACAAAAGCTAAAATTGCTTATCGTCCAAACGTATTTCATCTTCGTTACACGCACCTTTCAGAAGTATAGAGAATGGTACGGGGAAATGAGTTACTTGTGTATGACACCAATATTCAGCAACAACGGGAGGAGGACTGAGAAGATCCGAAGGAGGTGGTGAGCTAGTTCGACTAACAGTAGCCACTTGACCATCAGTACTATCCAATGTAGCTCTTAAAGCGTCCATGGAACTAACTGTGGATGAAAACAAAGAAACTGGGTATATTTATGAAAATTCACCGATTGTACTAGAAGCAAAAGACAAAAAATTGAGTTAAGCAAAAGTGGGTGGATAAACTTTCTACTTAAATTATCCATTTGACCACGACAATCGTAAGATTTTGTGGCAGTATCTGCTACTGAAAAACATGTGAGTTTATGAAGTGCTATTATCTGAAGCGGTTACACTAAGTGATATTCGTTCCGTGTTATATAAGAACATAATAAGCATTCCACTAGAGACTAAACGTATTGTCAAGCTTACTATAAACTTTTATGTCAACCGATCTTAATTTTTAGAAAATGAGGAATAACTTAAGACAGGTACAACTTTTGTTAGCAGAAATTGTTGTCCCTAACATGAGCACAAAGAAAATCAATAACGGGCGAACATAAATAACACTAGTAAAGGCAGAAAATATAAGCATAAAAAGACTGATGAAGTGAAGCAGATTTTTTCTGACCACTGGGGTATTTTTGAATCATTTTTTGGTTTGAGTATGTCTGAAACAATGATTCTAAAAAAACTGAAATCACACCTAGATAGTCTAGAGGATGATAATTAAACGAGATATTTGAGGAAGACCTGGCTAGACAAAATATGGAATAAGATAGGTTTGGTAACTGATTCGGCCCGATATTACATCCAATCCATTTTATGAAAATAGAAGACGATTATCAGTCTGAAGACTATGAGAATAACAAATCTGTAATATTTTTAAGGGTCATTACTGTGTCAAGCCCCATCATAATTATTTTCGTCAATGAGTAACAGTGTACACAAATACCGAGTAAAACAGCTAAGATAGATAGGAATTAGGGCCTGCTTGGTGTGTTTCACATCAAAACAGTGAAAAACTAACTAGGTAGATGGCAAGTAAGTACACGTATCAATATCAGTACTGGTGAAATTAACTCCAGGCAACATATTTTGGAAGGAACAGATAAAAATTGGGAGTGGCTAACTTTAAATTACATTATGCAACGTTTGTACCCACAGATACTTTCTAAATATTATTAAGAAACGACAAAGGCTTATATTTTGTTCCGGCATTTAAACAGAATAAGTAGTAGTCCTGGACTAGCATTTCAAATTCTAAATTGTTGAAGTCCCATTTCCTACCTACTTTGGTTCAGTTCAGTCACGTGTGTTCGGGTTTATTTTCATCTACATCTGTATGAGCTAGCTAGTATCACTAACTCTCAAAGTAACTCCAAGCCGATGTAAAAGGTACTGAGGAAAGATGGTCAACCTATTAATTAATCTGCAAATCTTCATAGACTGAGATTAAGACATTACTTGGGTTTAGCCACCTACCACAACACGCAATGCTGGCTGGTGTAAAATTAAATCGGAAAAAGGGCTAGAAACAATTTCCAACGAGTGATATAAGTTCATGGACTGGTCCGACCAATGATCAAGAGGATTCGGTGGTCAACAAAATGATCTCAGGTTCTGATAGAAGTATGGGAGTGATTGTCACTCCCCAGCTGCCCACACTATGGAAAGATATTTCTTCTTGAGGGATCTGAAAAGGAAGCTGAAATAGTGGTGATCCTAGAGACCTGATAGTGACCGCAGAGCCCAAAAGACAACTGCTTGAGGACGATCGCGCGCAGACTGTTCACGGGAAGTTTTCGACGATTTAGCTCTGCACTTCAAAAGACCTTACCACTGGAGACGGAATTCCATGGTAGCTCCATACTTGTTGAGACCTTAGTGATCGTGGAAAAAGGCGGTGTGCATTTGTAAGGTCGACCTTTTCTAACCACACCCTTCCTTTGTGAGAAAGCAGCATCGCTGCAGATACTGGTTTTCCGAGAGAAACACCTTACTGCCGTCATACCCCTCTACAGTTAGGAGAACGACTTCGTCATTCGACCTTGGGTTTGCTGCCTTTAGTGTTACCGTTCTGTGGCCAGCCTGGCTAACATGATAGGACCTTGAGTAACGATTGTTACAGCCAGTATGACCTGATTGGTTCATCACGACAAGTGAGCTTGACCACGTCGAGAGAGCAGCAATGATATTACAAAGGCACCTACAAAGTGATATATATATATATATATACCGAGTAGTATTTTGTGATGTATTCCCAAACAACCAATATCAAGGAAATAAAGGCGAACAAAGGGGAAACAAAGAGGGAATGTGCCGAAATATCTTTTTCGACTGTCCGAAGGAAACAATGCTAATTTTACCTCCTTTATATCGCTTTGCATTCCAAATGTCGCTCAATTGTCAATTTTTTGCCTAAATATAGCGAATGATTATTCGCTAGCACAGGTTTTTTTAAAGGTAGTAGATGGTTCTTGTGCTTAAAACAAGGTGACAGTTTAAATAAATCTGGTTTATAAATTTTCATTATTACTCACTGCTGTTTATTACTGATTACGCAGGATTACTTACACTCAGAAAAGCAACATAAGTCGTGGCGCCTAATGGACATCTACTCCATTTAGAAACGTAAAACAAACTCCAATATCCAAATGCTTCAAAATGGTTCAAATGGTTGTGGACGGAATAGAAGAAGCTTTCGCTTAACGAAGTTCCGTGTCTAGTAGCAGTGAATCATCAATACCTCCAAGCAAGAACCCTGGTATATTAACGATAATAGAGGGGGGAAAACTGGTAAATCATAATAATATATTATCCTTAGTCCTTAAGAATAGGTCAAGTTTCCTCTTAAAGGACTCCTGTGAAGTCGCTTGGATTAGCTCACTCAGCAGCGAATTCCACCATTCAACAACTGTTACGGAGTAGAAGTTGTATCTACAGTCTGTTCTGTTATGTTGGGTCTCCAGTTTCTGCGTGTTACCCCTCAGATTAGGGCTTAAGCAGATGTTTAAGGGAATCACCAGAAGTGTTAAAGACACTGTAAGTCATAAGAAGGTCATCTCTAAGACCCCTATACTCTAACGGGTAATGGTAAAGTGATCGGAGGCGCTATTCATAACTTTTGCATTTGAGTCCCCGAACTGATTTCGTGGCCTGACGTTGGATACGTTCCAGAGTGTCCCTATCCTTTTGGAGAGAGGGAGAAAATACTATATTCCCGTACTCTTAATGGGGACGAATAAAACTGTTGAAGATTATGTGGAAAGTTCTACCGTCAAACTGCCCAAAAATGCGCTTCAATGTTACCAGCTCAAGGTTTGTTTGAAAGGTGTTTTGTCACAGTTAGCGTACTGTAGCTGTAAATAATTCCCCAAAATCAATAGCTCATTAAGTGTTCGACATTGGATGCTGACCACGATGTTTAAGTGGACTTGTTTAGCTGAAGGCTTTCGGTCATGCATCCGCACCAGATCACGTTGCAACACGCCGTGGGACACAGCTCCTACGTCACAATAGCCAGTTAAGAACGAAGTCTCTCGATATATTGGTAACGAATCAAATATATCCTTCCTGTCTCTCTTCGTCTGACTTCTGGTTTCTATTCGACTGGGAACGAACGATTATAGAAGATACTACTGGTTGCTAGTTGCGAAACTAGAATATCCGTTGTATCCTCATTGGTGAGCCTAACGTGATCTGGTACATAAAGCCAATATACTGTGAGTCTGTTCCATTTTGGAATATTATTATTCATCGTTATTCTTTATTTGAATTTTATATATTGTGATATACTGTTTTTTTCGCGAATTTTTTTCCCGGATATATTTTAATTAGACATTTTTCGTCATCTATATTACTATGACGGAACACTCACCCAAGGTTTTTAAGTTAAAGTCTACTCCCCCTATTTCGATTCAGTTAACGCCATTTTGGCCCGACAATATCGAGTCCTGGTTCTGCTACGCAGAAGCTGATTTTTGCATGCACGGAATCACGGACTCGCGCACACGTTTCCTCGCGTTAGTTAAGGCGTTACCGCGCGAGTTTAACAGGTACGTAACACCTAGTATGTTTACTAGTGATGTTCCCGAACCTTACGAAACGCTTAAGCTATCGATTTTAAAACGAGGAGACCTAACCGACCGACAACGGTTAGACCAACTCCTCCATAACATCGACTTGCAACATGGTTCTGCGACAGACATGTTGTTAAGAATGAGAGAGGTTATCGGCCAACGAACTTTCGATGATGGCCTATTCAGACAACTTTTCTTGTCTAAACTTCCTCATCAGGTGCAGGCAGTGCTCGTCTCGTTTCAAAACAACGCCATAGACGAGCTGGCTGCATCTGCCGACCGAATCTTAGAAATCACTAAATCTTTTAAGGCCGAGGTTTTTTCAGTCAAAGAACCTCAAACGACCCCGAACGACATCACCGAACTATGTCACACACTTACACGATATCTTAGAGTTCGTAATGACCGTAGTCGGCCGAAAACCCCGCGTTGAAGTGTCTCACGTAGGCGATCTGACTCTCGACCACGAGAGACAGATAATCCCGACTGGTGCTGGTATCATAACCATAAATTGCAGGAAGCCCTGCAATTGTCCGACCCCGAAATCGAGTGACACGAAAAACAGCTCGTGAAACTTCCCAGCCGGCACGCGTTAACGGCAACCGTAGCCGGAAAACATAGCCGCTTCTTATACGTCACGGATGTGACTACGAAAGTTCTCTACCTCGTCGACACTGGCGCAGAAGTTAGCGTTCTTCCAGCTAATCCCGGCGACAGACTTCCCGAGTCCATTTTAAGTCTACAGGCGGAAAACGGAAAGTCGATCGCTACTTACGGTAAAAGGTACGTCTACCTTAACGTGGGTTTACGCAAACCCATACACTGGATTTTCGTTGTTGCAGATGTTTCTATGCCAATCATTGGTATAGATCTGTTACAATATCACAATCTACTCATCAACACACGCTCACGAAGGTTAATAGACGGAAACACTAAGTTATCTGTTTGCGTAACTCCTTGTTCTGGTTGCAGGTTATCCCCAGTCACAATTAAGCACACCATAGACCCCTTGTACCAATCAGTACTCGACAAATACCCCGGGATACACCAATCGCAATCGAAATTGCCTTGTGTAACCAGCAATGTTACACATCACATCTCGACTACATGACCACCTGTATTCTCAAAAGCCCGACGACTCGCTCCCGAAAAACTTAGGTTAGCCAAAAAGGAATTCGACCATATGATAGACTTAGGTATAATTCGACCATCAAATAGTCCATGGTCATCCCCATAGCACATGGTCCCTAAAAAGGACAACAACGATTGGCGGCCAACTGGTGATTATCAGGGTCTGAATGCTAAAACCATTCCCGATCATTACCCGCTGCCTCATATTCACGATTTGACAGCTACCTTGAAAGGTACAACAGTCTTTTCTTATAACCAAATCCCGATGGCAACTGACGACATTCCTAAAACCACCATCATCACTCCTTTCGGCCTCTACGAATTTCTACGAATGCCTTTTGGTTTAAGAAATGCGGCTCAAACCTTCCAAAGGTTTATAGACGACGTCTTCCGAGGTCTCAACTTCGTATATGCGTATGTTGATGACTGTCTAATAGCAAGTCCGAACAGAGAATCACATCTCAAGCATCTGGACATTGTTTTCGATCGACTCCAAAGGCATGGCATTACTGTCAACATTCAGAAATGACAAATCGGAACCAACTCCTTAGACTTATTAGGACACACTATTGATGCCCAAGGCATCCGACCCCTTAGAAGCAAAGTGGCGGCCATTCTGGAACCGACCACGATCAAACAGTTGCGAACTTTTAACGGACTTGTAAGTTTCTGTAGACGGTTCGTCCCCAAATGCGCATCCCTTATGAAACCGTTAACCGATCAGCTTCGTGGAAGTGCAAAATCAATTAGTTTAGACGACACAGCCCGTAAAGCATTCTCCACAGTTAAGGAACACATCGCTAAAGCAACCCTTCTTGCTCATCAGGACACTCAAGCGCCCATAGTATCGCCGTAGGCGCATCCGACTTAGCAATCGGAGGTGTCTTACAACAATGGGTTAACAACTCGTGGCAACCTTTTGGATTTTTCTCGAGACGGTTGCTAGACGCGGAATCTAGGTACAGCACGTTCGGTAGGGAACTCCTAGCTATGTATTGTGCTGTACGGCATTTCCAACATTCCATCGAGGGAAGAGAATTCACGCTTTTTACCGATCAAAAACCTCTTATCTTCTCTTTAAGTTCATTTTCAGACAAGTACTCACCGCGAAAGTCTCGACAATTCGACTACATTTCGCAGTTTACTTCAGACATACAACACATTTCTGGAGCTAACAATGTAGTCGCAGACGCCTTGTCTCGAATAAATTCCTTGAACAGTTTTCAAGGAATAGACCTTCTTAAACTCGCTCAGCTTCAAAAAGAAGACACTGATCTTCAGCATGAGTAATCCTCGACAACTCTTAAACTAAGTATTAAGCAGATGGGAACAGGTAAGGAAACCTTACTCTGTGACACATCTACAGGTAGGGATCGTCCAATAGTACCAAAACATTATGGACGCAACGTCTTCAATACGTTGCACAATCTTTCTCATCCAGATGCTCGTGCAACAGTCAAACTTATAGTCGAACGCTTTTGTTGGCCTGGCATGAATAAAGATGTGAGGGAGTGGGCACGCACCTGTGTAAGCTGTCAGAAATCTAAGGTAATCAGACACAACAAATGTCCCTTAGGTTCTTTCAAAACCCCTGACGCTCGTTTCGACCACGTCCATCTAGATTTGGTAGGACCCTTAACCGACTCGAACGGATACTCATATCTCCTAACATGCGTAGACCGTTCCACTCGATGGACAGAAGCAGTACCGATTAAGGACATTACTGCTGAAAGCGTGGCCCGCGCTTTCGTCGAACGATGGGTAGCAAATTTCGGCTGCCCTTACACAATCTCTACAGACCGCGGACGCCAGTTCGAATCTGGACTTTTCCGTTGTCTGACCTCACTATTAGGAATCACGCGTTTCCGAACGACCGCCTACCACCCACAAGCAAACGGGTTGGTAGAACGTTTACATCGACAACTAAAAGCTTCATTATCAGCTTCAAACGTTTCACAGTGGACAGACGCTTTTCCACTCGTCTTGCTAGGTATCCGCATTGCAGTGAAAGCTGACATTGGATACACGGCATCTCAACTCGTTTACGGAACGACACTTCGACTCCCAGGAGAATTCGTGGATCCTTCAGCTTCTTCATTGAACATGGATCTAAACTCTTACACGAGTAGGCTTACAAACGCTATGCGTTCAGTTAAACTTGCTCACACTTGACCTCAATCAACTGATGTTTTCGTTCAACCCGAATTACGACATAGTACACACGTCTTCGTTCGTCGAGACTCACATCGACGACCTCTCGAATCAGCTTACGAAGGACCCTTCAAAGTTCTTCAACGCGAACCTAAGTACTATGTAGTCGATAAGAACGGTACGAACGATAGCATCAGTATCGATCAACTCAAAGCAGCGTACTTAGAAGGAAACCCTAGCTACGTCAATTTTCCTTCGGTACAAGCAAACAACACAGCTACTACACTCGTAGTACCCTACACAACAACCGACACACAACTTGATACTTCGTCAACGTCGATAGATAAACCTAAAACAACGCGTTCTGGAAGACGGGTAAGATTTCCAGAACATCTTAACGAACATTGCACGTAGGACATAAGCTTTGTCTTGAATTACCATTTCATAGTTTATTCTAAAAAAATTTTTTTAATATGCTCATTTTTTATTTATATAAAAAAAACATTTTTTTCAGATCGATTTTACGCTGTTTGTAAGTGTATTAGTTTATTTTTTCTGCTCATCTTGTGTCCTTACGCAAGTACGAGTGTATTTTTGACATGCACTCACACGTTTCATTTTTCCTCTTTTCCAGAACGTCTGGAAAAGAACGACGAAATTTCGCAAGGAACCGAAATTTTCATTGTACTATATTTCTTTATTGCTATGTTGTACATTTTGGCCCCATAGTTTAAGGAAAGACGACCAGACGCTGCTAAACGAAGCAAGCTATCAGAAGAGTGTTTACCAACGCGTAGAGCGGGTTAATCCTTCCAGCAAACGATTGTCGTACTATAGGCTAAAACTAGCCATTACGTGAAAAATAAAAAAAACGATAGTGAGTTGAGGCAAAACCGCAGTTAACTATTAAGTTGAGTGAAACTCAAAACAAAGTAATCTACCGAACGTATAGCTCAGAATACGTTCTTTAGATTGGAAATGGTATTTTTGTTGCGTAAGAACATAGCAAAGGTTTGAGAAATGTAAATCACGTTAGGACTAAACTTCGTGCTCGAAAAAAATCCAATGTAGAAGGCAACAAATCCGAGTCAGATAATTTTCGGTTTATTCTACCGATGTAAACAAACAACTATTTGCTTTTGAAGAAATCCGATTAGTGAAATATATTTGTCTGGAGTGCATAGTTCATGTAGATTTTATGGATGACAAAGGAAGATCTAAATGAATGAATTAGGAATTCACATATCGTGAGATTCGCTAATTCTGTTCAAAAGAGTCTGAAGAATCCAAGCTCAATAATGCGGTATATAATAACCCTCGAAGCAGTGATCATGCGAAAGGTATATAACAACAGTAAATAATATATGAGTAGAAAACAAAAAGTAGGAAAAAAAATTCCAACCAACAGGGAGCACGAAATTGATGGTAAAACGGTCGAAGCCAAGAGAGCCATGCCGCGTGAGGATTCAAATAATAATAATAATAATAATAATAATAATAATAATTTATTCTCAAATAACAGATTGTTACATGAGGCATGCCGGTTTACAGGCAAGATCAAATTGTTAAAGAAGTTACAATTTTCACTGTTGAAAATTACTCAGCTGGGTTGATATTTCATAAGATATAAATGTAAATGGATTTCATAAGAAACATGTCAATATCAATATCACACTTGGCGCACTTTATGGAGGTAGAGTTGCAACATACAACTGATGGTCGAAAATAGATACATGCGAAGTTGGGGGCTTTTAGAAGTTTCGAACTTATATCCCTCCAGAATATCGGAAGCATTAATAACGGTGTAGGACGAAGTCACCCGTGCCATATCTGTTTTCGGTGGAGTATCTGCAGGAGGCTGAAAAAGGTGTAAGAAAAAGGAAGGACAAAAAGCAGAGCACACAATATTCATGGAGGAATAGTTAAGGTATAACCATTTAGTCTATTTATCTGTTACTGAAGTATTTATTAGGTAAGAACATATTAATGTGTTAAAGAAAAATAAGTGTGGGCAAGGTATGAGTGGATAAGGAACTGTATAAATGAAGGTAGTTTAGAAGGAAGTATGGAATTGTGTAATTATAAAATAAAGTGCTGAAAACAGTATTCCGATACAAATGACTGTCTCTCTTTACTTTAGAAGCTGTTTGAACTCTCTTTTTTGTTTTCAGATTTTATAGGGTATGGAGTGGGCTTCGTTTTTAACCAATTGTCTAGTTTGTTTGTATTAGGATTACTTGGTAGGAAGTGGAACCAATTCAGCTTTTTTTAACATGATCTAAAGTGGTATTTTGCATGAATAATTTCGTATCAACACCGTTGGTTCGTGACATCCCACTAGACATAAGGAGCCGTAATTAATATGTTCTGCCCCACAGACACGGGTGGATTGAAGTTATCTCCCCACCATCATGTTTGCTGGTCAGTAACGCCACCCTCCCTCCTTTTATGATGTTAGGCTCTCTTACGTTTATGGTCGGTATGAATATTGCTTTTATCAAGGACCATATTTGGAATACGCTGTCTCTACAAGTTCCATGTTACAAGCAAATCAGATGGTAATAACATTTGTATTATGGGTTAGATATCCATTTAATATATCGTACTACTATGAAGATAACTAATAGTAAGGGTTAGAAGAGACAAGTCAGATTATATGTGGTTAAGAGATGGTAAGGGCTAATAGCAATCCAGAGGATATGAAAGAGAATATTGTAAAATTTTCAGGGTAAGAAAAAATAAAGCATTGAACAACTCACAAGAATAGTCCCGAGTCCCATATGACTGTGACGAAGCTTTTTGTTGGTGGCTTGAAAAAGGATGTAACTCATGAAGAACTGCGCGAATATTTCAGCAAGTATGGTAACATCACCGAGTGTGAGGTTGTTGCTTGGAAGGAATCAGGCGAGTCACGCGGTTTCGGCTTCGTCACATTTGATGATTACGACCCTGTTGATAAAGCTATACTGTATAAACCACACCATATCGGGTCCAGTAGGGCGGACGTGAAGAAGGCCCTCAGTAAGGAGCAGATCAACACGATGAAAAAGAAACAGGAGTCTCGAAATGACTACAATAACAATTATGGTGGTGGTGGTGGCGGTTATGGACCGATGGGTGGAGGCTATGGAGGGTATGACGGAGGTTACGGGGGTTCCTACGGAGGTGGTCCTTATGGCGGATATGGCTCAAACGGTGGTGGCGGTGGCGGTGCCTACGGGGGTGGAAATTACGGAGGGGGTTGGGGTCCTAATCACATGAATGGAGATGGTCCTGGCTGGGGTCAGGGAGGAATGGGTGATGGATTTGGACACTATGGAAACCAGCAAAACTATGCCGGTGGTCCAATGCGTGGTGGTCCACCCGGGGGTTACCAGAGGAATGCTCCCTATGGAGGTAGGTTTATATTCTATCCAAACTAATCTGTCTTGTACATAGGGGGCTATGGTCGTCGTTAATTTCAGTCAGGTAAGAATTTCCTAGTATGAGCATGTTTTCAACGTCTAATTGCTTCTTCATATCCGTTGCAGGGTTAGTATGGCCTCAACAGTTTGGTCTAGGCAGTTCTACTAGCAGAGGAGACAGAGTTGTCCTAGCGCCCCCAAGTTCTAGGTCAGCCAGCAGAAAGTCGACAGCCTGTCTATAGCTGAGGAGGCCAGGGATCCTATTATTCACTGTGTATATACTGTTAACTGTTAATTTTCACTGCATGTGCAATCGAGCGTTCTTTTTAACTATCATGTCCGTTGTGAGCTAGCATCCGGTCAAGAGTGACTTTCATCCTTAAGTGTAAAGTTTCGTATCATAAATTCATAAGCCCATGCAGCGTCCTTTTTTAACCCAGCTTTGTCACTAGTATTAAAGGAAATAAAAGTGTTCAAGCCAGTTAGTCTTTTGAGTTATGAGTTTTGTAATTGGTAGTGATGAGGGAGATGGATGCTTGTTGGGCGGGAGACGAGGTTGACTTACTAGGTCTTCCAGCCCTTTGTGTTTAGCAGGCCTGTCACTATGTCAGGTATTTGGAAGTGAGCAGTTTTAAAATTCGTTGTAGAGCCATAGTGGTATCCCGTAAATTTGGGTCCAGAAAGGCATGTAGCAAGGTCGAAACCAGAGTATCCATTCACTTTGTTCACAATTTTTGAGTGGTTTTGCAGATCTCGTGGTGCCCCTTGGAGGATTGACACTCGTCCGTGGCGTGGGACGCAATGGACTCGGGAACTTGTATGGTTGAACTATCGTTGTGTATGCTGTGATACATTATCAAAAATAAATTTACGGATTAATTCCGCATGTACAACTATCTTCCTTTTTGATTACGGTTGTGACTGGGTGAGTTACATGGGTTTGGGTGGACAAGTGGGACCAGTCGTTCCTTCCGCGCAACAGTTCGTTCACTGATTTATCTCGTACAGGGATTCACGTTCAGTAGCAATGGGTCGTTGATGCTTCTGTTTAGAGACCTGTGTATATGGAACAAGCAGGAGCATGGAAGAGTGCCTGTCAACTAGTGGGGTGTTACTTTAAATCACCGAGGGGATGTCGAGTTCCTTCAAAGCTCTTGGAGAGCTCTCGAGGCTACCGCTTGCCACAGAGGATGACAGGAGTTTGCTGAGTTTAAGGAGTGGGACGCATGTCGATAACCCAGTTCACTGTTACTCTCCGAATCGCGAGTTTCTATCAACGGTTGGTGTTGAGGTTGAAGTGATGTGGGTTCGTCAGGGAATGTCGACGATGTGCGGGGTTAAGCGGCCACATTTGCGTCGCCTAGTTCCCAGAGGGCACAGACCACGTCGGTCTGGCGACTCATCGTCAGATACTGTGCAAAGTATTCCTATGTTTTTGAAGTGAGTGAAACACTGCGCTCCAATACTCTGAGTTGTCCTGAATAAAACTTGGAGATTAGGTGGGAAGCGATACCATCGGACTGGTCAAGGTGAACTCCAGATTGACTGGTAATGGGTTTGCTGTGAATGCACTTTTTCACTACGGACGTATGTTCTGAGATCTTCAAGAACCTATTATTGACAATCGCGCGCTATTCGAACGGGAAGTTTAGTCCTCACGTGATTTACATTTCTCAAACTTTTGCTATGTTCTTACGCAACAAAAGTATCATTTCCATTCGAAAAAATCTATTCTGAGCTATACGTTCGGTAGATTACTTCTTTTTTTGTGTTTCACTCAAATTAATAGTTAACTGTGGTTTTGCCTCAGCTCACTATCGGTTTTTTTTAATAGTTTTCACGTAAAGGCTAGCTTTAGCTTATCGTTAACTGTTTTTATACATTTTTGCCAGTTTTGTTTACTGAGTTTTTTTTAACGGTCCTAAATTTACTGCTTGTATTTTTAGACAGTCTAAATCACTAGCCATGAAAAATTCATGCAAGAGACCTGGTTGCCGTTTTGCCGTTACATCTGGCATGCAGTGTGACAACTGTAAAGTTTGGTTCCATGAGGCATGTACAGATCTAACAGCAGCAGCCTATAGCAGACTCAGTAAGTCTGATCGTAGGTGGGTATGTGTTACCTGCAACACCGATACGGTAGTTATGTTGGGTACTATCATTACTTTACTGACAGGTCTGAGAGATAAGTTGTCTAAGAATTCGGTAAATGATAGCACCACGACGGGTAACAAAACTGGAACGCACAGGGCAAATAAGAAAAAGGACTGTGACAGGTCGGTTATCGACGGTGCTGTTAACAGAACGAGTGATGATGTGCTGAAACTCAGCACCATCTTAACATCGACTGTCATCGACTCCCTCATTAAATTTGGGTCCCCCAGGGAACGGTCCTTGAATGAGACGGTGGTTCCCAAAAATCCTGTAGGTGGATGGACTCATGTTAACAGGAGTAATAAAGCCCAAGCGTCCCCGCCGAAACTAAACGTCCCAAGGATCGTGCGGAAATCAATTGATGCTTTGGCCGCACAGTCTACACCCAAGACTGTCCGCCCGGTCATCACTGAGCCCAGGAATCGAAAACGCGCCTCGACATCCAAACAACAAGATACCAAACCTAGACGCCCTGGAAAACCTGGGAAATCAATTGCGGTTCGTGACGACTCTGCCATAATCATGAACCTTATTGACAACCCTGAACTTCCTCTCAGTTTGCAGGACAAAAACGATAGGATGCTCTGGGGAGAATTAAACAAGAGGCTTGAACTCCCTAGAATAGAGCCTTTGACCGTCACACGGCTCACTCGGGGGAAGGACTCTAACCACCTAAACCATCCGAGGCTGCTTCGTGTTACACTTAAGAATGCCTCCGACCTAGAGGACATCCTGCTTGCCAGTCACTTACTGAAATCCGATGGGAACGTAAGAATACTGCCCGACATACCGTATTCTGAACGAAATCTCATCCGGAACATCCCTAAGGAATCTCGTGAGGCGTTTTTCCGTGGACGAAATATCATTGTGCAAGGTGTGCCGGGAAATACGGACCCAACTCAAGCAAACTCTGATATTCGGGAATGGAAATTCATCAAGCATTCCTTAAAACTCAAGAACATATTGACCCAACAGGTAATGCGACTGGCCAAGAGAGACGGAGACTCTAGGCCCCGGCTGCTGAAGATAACTTTCCCCTCCTCCCACATGGCGGCTTTGTCAGCAAAACGGAGCTACGATATCCTACTAGCAACAAGCGCTGGAACTTCAAACGGTTGAATGTGTTAGTTTTACAGGACTATCTACAACAGGTGGATTGGGATGTTCACCCTCAACTTGAAGTGGATGCTCATTGGGATTTTTTACTGCACACGATCTTATGTGCTACTGAGCATTCAGTTCCTAAAATGGTCCCAAAAAGCTACAAGCAACCTCCAATCATCAAGAACCGCACTCGTCGTTTGCTAAGTCGCAAAAGGCACTGTTGGGCTGAATATAAACGAACTGGTAACAACGGCACGTACAGGCAATACAAACATATAAGGAACATATGCACAAAGGCAATAAGAGAAGACAGGCTTCAGTTCCAGACCAAGCTTATCGATAGATTCGTCTCCAATCCGAAAAGCTTGTTCAGTTATGCAGCTTCTCTTCGACAAGGCAAAACTGGAGTTTCCCAACTGCTTGGTCCTAATGGCCCGACCAACAACGACAGTGATGCCGCTAACCTTTTGGCTGAACAATACTCCCGGACATTCCAGCTGACCCACATCAACCATACTGACGAAAGCTTCACCTGCACCTGTACAGGACTTTCCGAAGTGGACCTGAGTACTGACCTGGTGCTCCGTAAACTGCAGAACCTAAGAAAAGACACTTCTCCTGGTACGGACATGGTTCATTCCGCTGTATTGAGGGAAGCAGCTTCAATCCTAGCGACACCACTTAGCGTGTGTTTGCACACTCGCTAAGCAGAGGCAAACTACCGGAAATATGGAAGCTGGCCCACATCACACCAATTTTCAAAGGAGGTCGACGCAGTGAACCCTCAAGCTACCGATCAATGGCCCTTCTCTCCATACCTTCCGAAATTATGGAATCCCTAATATACGACGGTATACAAGAATACTTATCATCCTCAAAGTTCTTCTCACCTCAACAGCATGGTTTCATGAAAAGGTCATTCTTGTATGACCAACCTGCTGACTGCAGTGGATAGATGGACAACCATCCTTGGTCGCAAGGGGAAGGTTGACGTCATCTACCTGGACTTTTCAAAAGCTTTTGATAGGGTCAACCATGCATGTCTTATCAAGAAGCTTGGACGATTGGGTATAAAACCCCCTTTGATTGATTGGCTCTCTTCATATTTAGAAAACCGACACTTTAAGGTCAGGGTTAACTTCACTCTCTCTCAGGCTATGGAATGTTCTAGTGGGGTACCCCAGGGTTCAATACTAGGACCTCTTCTCTTCTTGATTTATATTAACGATCTTCCTCAACAAGTTTCATCTGACTTATTGCTTTTTGCTGATGATGTGAAACTTTGGAGAGAGATACGTAATCATAATGATATACTAGTTCTTCAGGAGGATCTGACTCGACTTCAAAGTTGGGCAGACGACAACGGACTTACCTTCAACACTTCAAAGTGCAAGGTAGTCCATCTGAGACATGTTGCAGACTATAGTTATAACTTGGGTAACTCCCCTCTAGAAGTTTCCCAAGTCGAAAAAGATTTAGGAGTGTTGGTACCCTACGACCTGAAATCGTATGCGAACTGTGACAAAAACGCCTCTCAAGCAAACCTTGCACTGGTAACATTGAAGCGCATTTTTGGCCAGTTTGACGGTAGAACCTTCCATATAATCTTCAACAGTTTTATTCGTCCCCATTTAGAGTACGGAAACATAGTATTTCCTCCCTCCCTCCCTCCAAAAGGATAAGGACACTCTGGAACGTATACAACGTCGAGCCACGAAATCAGTTCGGGGTCTCAAATTCAAACCTTATGAAGAGCGCCTCAAATCACTTAACCTTTACCCGTTAGAGTACAGGCG